CAGCAGCCGCAATAAACCAGTATACCCTAGATCTATTGAGCCTAGCAGAGACTAGTTAAACAACCTGAGACTAGATAGTATAAGAGTAAGATTAGGATCGGTATTAGACTAAGAAGTTGCACGAATCTATCCGGCCGAAAATAAGATAGCGTGACGAGCAGACGGTGTACCCTATCCGAAATTACTCTATGAGTTAACCAACTCGGTCCTAACTCATAAAGTCAAACTTCAAAGCTTGCAATTTATAAGAAACCATCCCTATTGAATTGATTTTTAAATTCTCAATTTTGAGAACGCACAGTTTTGTTGATGACGGAAGAAAGGAAAATGTCCATATTGTTCAGGATCAAGTATCATTAGAGTCTTGAGGGCTTGATGTAGTCACAAAATTAGTTTACTGTTGGCAGAGAGTACATGGTACAATGAATTGAGAAAGGTACAGTCAGCACCAAAAACTTGGCATAAAACTACGCTGGTTTGAATCGAAGCTTTTCTCTTAAGTTATTGCAATTTTATGTTAAAACAAGAGTTTTTTTGTTGTATTTGAAAAATTAATCAAAATAGCTCCATGATTTCAAATATCTCTTGTTGACTCTGGCGATATAATAAAAAGTTTGACTTAATTTTTTTGTTGAAAACTTAGGTAGGTATTACTTTCATTTCAAACGTTACATAAAAAGTTGCTGCTTTTTCTGGGAACATTTCTGATTCCAGAGCTAGTATTATAAGGTCTTTTGATTTGGTATGATTAGAAAACTGTTTTTTTTTCTCTGCGTTTTTTGTTTCAAAAGTTATCCCTATCATCAGTGAACTTTTTATGAACTTTTGTATTGTTTTAATATAAAAGTGATGCTGTTCCCTGATACCAATGAGCAGTTGCACCTCTCAAAATAGAACAACATAACGTTTTCAGCATTTCATCACATGCGTCTTAACCATCGTCTTATCCATCCACAATGCTAAGAAAATCTCTGGCTCTTTTTTGAAATTAACCCGCTTTGTTATTAAATTTAGAACGGGATATGCTAATGCAGTAGTCATTATTCTAATTCTAATCATTTTCTTTGTGTTGCAGATTTTGAAAGTTTGAGTGACTGGATTTTATAGATGTTTTAGAGATTGTTGTTCAATACGTAATTTTTTTTTAATTTCGAGCTATTTTAACCAGTTATTTACCAGTACAAAAGATAGCCAAAATTTATTTTAGCCTAGTGCGAAGTTGAGTCATAAAGTTTTTATATTTTTTTTTTTCAAAAAAGCTTAATTAGCCTAACGGTTATACAAATTAACTGAAAGAACTGAAAAAAAAAATGCAAATTAGTTCCTAGCTTCTTCAATTTTTCAATCAAAACTCTCTTAAATTCAAAATCTTATCTTGGAAAGTCAATTTTTGATTACTGGGATTGTTTATTTATGGTTTTATTTTTGGGACTATCTTCATTTTAAAAGACCGCGATTTTAAAGCCAGAGGCCTAAGTTTTGGGCTTAAACTAACAGTTATTTACGCAGTCAATGGTATGAAAACTTGGCTTTAGGGACTTCAAATTACCTTATACGAGTAATTTTTTTGTGCTGACCCGTGTCTAAAATGAGTGTCTCAGAAAATTCATAAATTCTTGGAATCCTCAAGATTTTGAACAGAGACTGGAAGCTGAAACGTTTCAATTATGTACCAAAACCATGGGTTCAGTTTTTGAATGTGCTCTCGGGATTATTGTTTTTAGCTGAATTTGTTTTTCCTCGAGTTTCAGACTCAAAAACATAAAAATTGATATCGAAAACGTGGAAATTCAACAGATTAAACATAGTTTTCAGGCTATAGAACCAAGACTCAAAATTGGTAGGTTAGAGTTTGTTTGCAGCATTAGTTCTCCGTAAAAAGCAAAGACCGGAATTGAAAAGCTAAATTTGTTACTCATCAACTTAAAACTTGGACTTGTGTTTTCGGACTTGTGTTTTGGACTTGCATTTTTTGGACTTGTGTTTTTTTCAATTAGTCAAAATTTGGGTGTTTTAACCAAAATCGCAAACAGATCTTCAACCTCATTAAAAAAACAGACCTTTTAGTGAAATGTTTGACCCTGCAGCTCAAAACTAGCACCAAACCTAACAATTCGAATTTTAAGAATAGAATTTTTTTACTTGAACTAGTTTGTGATTCCTAAATTGTTATTCCTAGTTTAAACCTTAAAATGTGGATTGTTTTGAGCAAAAACTTGCTCTGAAACTGTATTTGTAGAAATGAAATCTGAGCTTGTCTAGATAACTGATTTGTGGTGTCCGGTACTGAAAAATTTGATTCGAGTTACAATTTTTGCGTTTTGTGTTTTCAAAATGTTCGTTTCTGGAAAATGAATCTTAATTTTAGCTCATGTAATTAATGCAGCGTTTAAGGGATAAAATTCGTAGAAATTAAACGTGGCAATATAAAATCATATTGGGTTTTCCTTATATTAATGATGGAATTCAAATTTAGCGTGGACTGACGTTTTCTATAGTTTTGATGTTTTCTATAAACTTTGGGAAAATATTTTATGAAAAGCGCCATCTTTTCTTTTAAAAAAACACATAGAAACTGCTAGGTCTTTGAGGTTCAAATAGGGGAACCTAGTAGAGAAAATCTCTTAGCTTTCTAAAATTTTATGTAGAAAAACTTGCTTTTAGATGTTCTTGAAAAGTAGTGTCTTACGGGGTTGTTCTCTGCTGTGGTCTGCATTTGTACTTTAGGAAAGTAACAAGGGCTCGGTCATCTAGCGTGACTTGTTTTCTTAGTTACTTAATAATTAAGCGCTATAAGCGTCACCTTATTTCATCGATCTTTTTGATGTCTTAGTTTTAAAATAAATAGTATATAAAAATTGGACGGATACACATATAAAGATAAGAGCATAAACATTTAAAAGTTTGTTTCTTTTATTCCACTAATCTCAAATTCCGCTAATTTTAAAATGTACATGAATTGTTACTTCTATTACATTTGGAAGCGTTAAAGTAAGAACAGGAGGTTGTTGAAAATTGTTTTTCACTAAAAACGGAAAATTTTTGGGCTCGACTTAAGCGAGCAGGGATGATATAAGGAAAAATTAAACCGGTCTTTTCTGGAGGAAAAATTAAGTAGTCTTTTCCTACTATAATTGTCAAAGATTTTCGTGTCATCCGATAACACTTTCTACTTCCCACGCATTTGAAATTATATAGCAGAATTGTGCTAATTTTGTTAGAAAAACTTAACATTTTCTTCAAGTCTCTGGTTTACAGGTATTTTTTTATCAATTTTTCAATGAACTTTAAAACGACGAGGTGCTTGGCCTTTTTTGTTGCCATTTAGGGCAGTAGAAAAAAACCAGTCCGTATAAATTGGCGTCATACTTATTTATAATATTCAGACAAACCAGACGAAAAAATGAGTCCAATAGTGAAAAAGTTATTTTAATCGGGCTGGTATTTAAAGCGTTAAAAAACTAGGTTAAGCTTGAAATTAGTGTAATATACGCAATACTGCAAAGTGAATAAATAGAACACTTGTAAAAGTTAGGGGTGGTGGTAAAATAAGCCAAATTTTGTTCGCGTTATCCAATAATAACTAAATATGGAATAATTGACCAATTAAATCAAACGAAAAATTTATATTCCTGCTTTTTTGAACCTCGACAAGCTGTAACTGTAATTGTGAATTGAACAGTAGCGTAAAATACGTTCATATAAATTTGTTGATGAGAAGAAAACACAAATACAGTCGTGTTCTCTCAAGTTGTTGCACTTTTGCGACAAAAAAAACACAATGTACATAAGCAAATACTTAAATTGCTCGTCTTGTGTTACAGATTTCGTTTTTTGAACGAAAAAAAAAAAACAACGAAAAGGTCTAATACTTGGTTATTTCACCCCTCATCTTCAATACTTTAGCCATGCGCCGAGGCAAGGAATCATACAGTTTGTTAATGGCATCTTGAGTAATCAGATTTCAGTGTTTTTCTACTTCTTCATACAACTGGTCTCTAGATCGAAATTCGATATTGCTATCTATTAAGGATTTCTTCAGCATCTTCCACAGGTTTTCGATGATATTAATGTCGGGTGATTGAGGGGGCCATGTAGTCGTTAGGATGCTTTTTTCTGTGAAAAACGTATTCATTAAATTAGAAACATGGCAGGGGGCGTTGTCCTGTTGGTATACATACTCGTCTCCGTGAACGCTGTTGATAACATCCGGCAGATTTCGCTTTAGTATTTCCTTGTATTTTTCGCTGTTGAGAATTCCATTATTCTTCTCTAATTTGCGAAATCCGTGATAGGTCACGCAACCTCAAATCATTACTGTAATTTGAGGATTCTGTGCACAGTCATACGAGAAATCCTTAAGGAATTGGCAATGTGGCTTTGCTTCTGGCCCTTTTCCTTCAGCTGTATAATTCAATTTCTTAACAGAATTGGGGTTTCCGGTGCCATCAGAAATAAATGCAATAAATGTTCGCCTCATTGTGAACAAACGTTCACGCCGGTCATACTATCGTGTGAAAATGCAAGTGTAATCTACTTGCCAAGAATCACGACGTTGAGTTAATTTAATCAAAAGATATAGCCCATTTAATGCATTAAACTTGGTTGAAAATCTGAACAAAAACAAAGTGTAACAACTTGAGAGAACACGGCTGTAGTACTGATGGTCCAGTTTGAGATTTTTCAACTCAAACATTACGATACGCTTCTTTTTAAAAACATATAGATAAAATTTACTATTGATAGAATATTAATAAAACCTACGTACCTGCTGAATGATCAAGATACCACTGTTCAACTATTTACAGAAATTGGCGTCTTCGATTGATTCCGCCTGAAATTTTAGATGATTTTTGTGGGCGAATGAAAAAATTAGCTTCGCTCTTAAGCAACATGCATATGTCAAAAAAGGGGTTCGAAATACAGACTTTAGGACTTTTCCCACCGAGCGTTAGCCTTTTCTGTAAACCATTTCTGAACGTAAGCCTCTCCCTTTTCAGTAAACTTCTCATCCCTTCAATTTTGGCTGCTGGTGAGCGAATCAAAACGAGTCACGTGTTGATTGTGGACACAGACATGGTGTTCGAGACTGACGTCACAAGAGCATGGTCACTTCTCCAACAGATGCGAAGAAACTCTACGGAAATTGTATTCGGTAATTGTTCAAATCACAATTTCTAAAGCGATTTTTATTCTCACATGCTTGAAAAACTCTAACGGTTGTCCTTCATGGAACAAGTCTGTGAACTACCAAGTTTTTCAAACTGTTTTCATTTCTTTAATTGTTCTAGGGTTCTTATTTTATTTTCGGCCTCCATTTGACCCCAATAAAGTTATCTGATGAGGAAATTTTTTGGACTTCTTGTACAATTTGCATTCATTGGAAGCATATGTCAAGCTTTTTTACTTAATAGTTCTGATCAAACCAAATTTACAAATTATGGTATCAGCAAGTTAACTGCCTTAAGCAAACATCTGGCAAATTGCTGGTTGCAGTGCTTTTAGTTTTGCCATATTAGTTCTTTCAAATTATTCTGTCACGTGCACAGAACAAAAACTTGAGGCACAGTTGAGCGCTGAGCTTCCGACAACTGTTTTTTAAGTCGAACTCTCATAGAGCATTAAAGCTTCTGGCCGCACTTTCAGTGCCGCGGGCTAAATTTTGAAAAAATCATTTCAGGCTCTTTTTATATATAAAGTAGCGCAAAGTCGCAAATTGAATTTTGTGCGCCGGGAAAAACGCGCAAACATTTTGGTCCCGCAAAGATGCAACATACCCATTTTGAGTCGCAATGGTCGCAACATACCTTTTTGGGGTCGCGCAAAGTCGCATCATATCTGTTTTGGGTCGCGCAAAGTCGTGCAAACTACTTCGGTTGCGCAAAGTTGCAGCATGCCCATTTTGAGTCGCAATGGTCGCAACATACCTTTTTGAGGTCGCGCAAAGTCGCATCATATCTGTTTTGGGTCGCGCAAAGTCGTGCAAACTACTTCGGTTGCACAAAGTTGCAGCATGCCCATTTTGAGTCGCAATGATCGCAACATACCTTTTTGGGGTCGCGCAAAGTCGCATCATATCTGTTTTGGGTCGCGCAAAGTCGTGCAAACTACTTCGGTTGCACAAAGTTGCAGCATGCCCATTTTGAGTCGCAATGGTCGCAACATACCTTTTTGGGGTCGCGCAAAGTCGCATCATATCTGTTTTGGGTCGCGCAAAGTCGTGCAAACTACTTCGGTTGCACAAAGTTGCAGCATGCCCATTTTGAGTCGCAATGGTCGCAACATACTATTTTGGGGTCGCGCAAAGTCGCATCATATCTGTTTTGGGTCGCGCAAAGTCGTGCAAACTACTTCGGTTGCACAAAATTGCAGCATGCCCATTTTGAGTCGCAATGGTCGCAACATACCTTTTTGGGGTCGCGCAAAGTCGCATCATATCTGTTTTGGGTCGCGCAAAGTCGTGCAAACTACTTCGGTTGCCCATTTTGAGTCGCAATGGTCGCAACATACCTTTTTGGGGTCGCGCAAAGTCGCATCATATCTGTTTTGGGTCGCGCAAAGTCGTGCAAACTACTTCGGTTGCACAAAGTTGCAGCATGCCCATTTTGAGTCGCAATGGTCGCAACATACCTTTTTGGGGTCGCGCAAAGTCGCATCATATCTGTTTTGGGTCGCGCAAAGTCGTGCAAACTACTTCGGTTGCACAAAGTTGCAGCATGCCCATTTTGAGTCGCAATGGTCGCAACATACCTTTTTGGGGTCGCGCAAAGTCGCATCATATCTGTTTTGGGTCGCGCAAAGTCGTGCAAACTACTTCGGTTGCACAAAGTTGCAGCATGCCCATTTTGAGTGGCAATGGTCGCAACATACCTTTTTGGGGTCGAACAAAGTCGCATCATATCTGTTTTGGGTCGCGCAAAGTCGTGCAAACTACTTCGGTTGCACAAAGTTGCAGCATGCACATTTTGAGTCGCAATGGTCGCAACATACCTTTTTTGGGTCGCGCAAAGTCGCATCATATCTGTTTTGGGTCGCGCAAAGTCGTGCAAACTACTTCGGTTGCACAAAGTTGCAGCATGCCCATTTTGAGTCGCAATGGTCGCAACATACTATTTTGGGGTCGCGCAAAGTCGCATCATATCTGTTTTGGGTCGCGCAAAGTCGTGCAAACTACTTCGGTTGCACAAAATTGCAGCATGCCCATTTTGAGTCGCAATGGTCGCAACATACCTTTTTGGGGTCGCGCAAAGTCGCATCATATCTGTTTTGGGTCGCGCAAAGTCGTGCAAACTACTTCGGTTGCACAAAGTTGCAGCATGCCCATTTTGAGTCGCAATGGTCGCAACATACCTTTTTGGGGTCGCGCAAAGTCGCATCATATCTGTTTTGGGTCGCGCAAAGTCGTCTAAACTACTTCGGTTGCACAAAGTTGCAGCATGCCCATTTTGAGTCGCAATGGTCGCAACATACCTTTTTGAGGTCGCGCAAAGTCGCATCATATCTGTTTTGGGTCGCGCAAAGTCGTGCAAACTACTTCGGTTGCACAAAGTTGCAGCATGCCCATTTTGAGTCGCAATGGTCGCAACATACCTTTTTGAGGTCGCGCAAAGTCGCATCATATCTGTTTTGGGTCGCGCAAAGTCGTGCAAACTACTTCGGTTGCACAAAGTTGCAGCATGCCCATTTTGAGTGGCAATGGTCGCAACATACCTTTTTGGGGTCGAACAAAGTCGCATCATATCTGTTTTGGGTCGCGCAAAGTCGTGCAAACTACTTCGGTTGCACAAAGTTGCAGCATGCACATTTTGAGTCGCAATGGTCGCAACATACCTTTTTGGGGTCGCGCAAAGTCGCATCATATCTGTTTTGGGTCGCGCAAAGTCGTGCAAACTACTTCGGTTGCACAAAGTTGCAGCATGCCCATTTTGAGTCGCAATGGTCGCAACATACTATTTTGGGGTCGCGCAAAGTCGCATCATATCTGTTTTGGGTCGCGCAAAGTCGTGCAAACTACTTCGGTTGCACAAAGTTGCAGCATGCCCATTTTGAGTCGCAATGGTCGCAACATACCTTTTTGGGGTCGCGCAAAGTCGCATCATATCTGTTTTGGGTCGCGCAAAGTCGTGCAAACTACTTCGGTTGCACAAAGTTGTAGCATGCCCATTTTGAGTCGCAATGGTCGCAACATACCTTTTTGGGGTCGCGCAAAGTCGCATCATATCTGTTTTGGGTCGCGCAAAGTCGTGCAAACTACTTCGGTTGCACAAAGTTGCAGCATGCCCATTTTGAGTCGCAATGGTCGCAACATACCTTTTTGAGGTCGCGCAAAGTCGCATCATATCTGTTTTGGGTCGCGCAAAGTCGTGCAAATTACTTCGGTCGCACAAAGTTGCAGCATGCACATTTTGAGTCGCAATGGTCGCAACATACCTTTTTGGGGTCGCGCAAAGTCACATCATATCTGTTTTGGGTCGCGCAAAGTCGTGCAAACTACTTCGGTTGCACAAAGTTGCAGCATGCCCATTTTGAGTCGCAATGGTCGCAACATACCTTTTTGGGGTCGCGCAAAATTGCATCATATCTGTTTTGGGTCGCGCAAAGTCGTGCAACCTACTTCGGTTGCACAAAGCGCAGCATGCATATTTTGAGTCGCAATGGTCGCAACATACCTTTTTGGGGTCGCGCAAAGTCGCATCATATCTGTTTTGGGTCGCGCAAAGTCGTGCAAACTACTTCGGTTGCACAAAGTTGCAGCATGCACATTTTGAGTCGCAATGGTCGCAACATACCTTTTTGAGGTCGCGCAAAGTCGCATCATATCTGTTTTGGGTCGCGCAAAGTCGTGCAAACTACTTCAATTGCACAAAGTTGCAGCATGCCCATTTTGAGTCGCAATGGTCGCAACATACCTTTTTGGGGTCGCGCAAAGTCGCATCATATCTGTTTTGGGTCGCGCAAAGTCGTGCAAACTACTTCGGTTGCACAAAGTTGCAGCATGCCCATTTTGAGTCGCAATGGTCGCAACATAACTTTTTGGGGTCGCGCAAAGTCGCATCATATCCGTTTTGGGTCGCGCAAAGTCGTGCAAACTACTTCAATTGCACAAAGTTGCAGCATGCCCATTTTGAGTCGCAATGGTCGCAACATACCTTTTTGGGGTCGCGCAAAGTCGCATCATATCTGTTTTGGGTCGCGCAAAGTCGTGCAAACTACTTCGGTTGCACAAAGTTGCAGCATGCACATTTTGAGTCGCAATGGTCGCAACATACCTTTTTGAGGTCGCGCAAAGTCGCATCATATCTGTTTTGGGTCGCGCAAAGTCGTGCAAACTACTTCGGTCGCACAAAGTTGCAGCATGCACATTTTGAGTCGCAATGGTCGCAACATACCTTTTTGGGGTCGCGCAAAGTCGCATCATATCTGTTTTGGGTCGCGCAAAGTCGTGCAAACTACTTCGGTTGCACAAAGTTGCAGCATGCCCATTTTGAGTCGCAATGGTCGCAACATACCTTTTTGGGGTCGCGCAAAATCGCATCATATCTGTTTTGGGTCGCGCAAAGTCGTGCAAACTGCTTCGGTTGCACAAAGCGCAGCATGCATATTTTGAGTCGCAATGGTCGCAACATACCTTTTTGGGGTCGCGCAAAGTCGCATCATATCTGTTTTGGGTCGCGCAAAGTCGTGCAAACTACTTCGGTTGCACAAAGTTGCAGCACGCACATTTTGAGTCGCAATGGTCGCAACATACCTTTTTGAGGTCGCGCAAAGTCGCATCATATCTGTTTTGGGTCGCGCAAAGTCGTGCAAACTACTTCAATTGCACAAAGTTGCAGCATGCCCATTTTGAGTCGCAATGGTCGCAACATACCTTTTTGGGGTCGCGCAAAGTCGCATCATATCTGTTTTGGGTCGCGCAAAGTCATGCAAACTACTTCGGTTGCACAAAGTTGCAGCATGCCAATTTTGAGTCGCAATGGTCGCAACATACCTTTTTGGGGTCGCGCAAAGTCGCATCATATCTGTTTTGGGTCGCGCAAAGTCGTGCAAACTACTTCGGTTGCACAAAGTTGCAGCATGCCCATTTTGAGTCGCAATGGTCGCAACATACCTTTTTGGGGTCGCGCAAAATCGCATCATATCTGTTTTAGGTCGCGC